CAAACAACCCAATCCAAAAATGGGCAGAAGACCTAAATAGACATTTCTCCAAAGAAGACATACAGATAGCCAAGAAGCACATGAAAAGCTGCTCAACATCACTAATTATTAGAGAAATGCAAATCAAAACTACAATGAGGTAACACCTCACACCAGTTACAATGGGAATCATCAGAAAATCCACAAACAATAAATGCTGGAGAGAGTGTGGAGAAAAGGGAACCCTCTTGCACTGTTGGTGGGAATGTAAATTGATACAGCCACTATGGAGAACAGTATGGAGGTTCCTTAAAAAAACTAAAAATAGAATTACCATATGATCCAGCAATCCCACTACTGGGCATATACCCAGAGAAAACCATAATTCAAAAAGACACATGCACCCCAATGTTCACTGCAGCACTATTTACAAGAGCCAGGTCATGGAAGCAACCTAAATGCCCATCAACAGATGAATGGATAAAGACGTGGCACATATATACAATGGAATATTACTCAGCCATAAAAAGGAACGAAATTGGGTCATTTGTTGAGATGTGGATGGATCTAGAGACTGTCATACAGAGTGAAGTAAGTCAGAAAGAGAAAAACAAATATCATATATTAACGCATATTTGTGGAATCTAGAAAAATGGTACAGATGAACCCGTTTGCAAGGCAGAGAAAGAGATACAGAAGTACAAAACAAACGTATGGACACCAAGGGGGGAAAGGAGGGGGTGGGATGAATTGGGAGAATGGGATTAACATATATACACTAATATGTATAAAATAGAGAACTAATGAGAACCTTCTGTATAGCACAGGGAACTCTAGTTCACTTCGCTGTACAGTAGAAACTAACACAACATTGTAAAACAACTATACCCCAATTAAAAATATATATATATATATATTAAAAACACTATGCACTTTAAAAAAAAAAGCAAGAAAGAGAGAGAGAGAAAGAGAGAGGGAAAGAGAGAGAGAGGGAGAGAGGGAGGGGAGGGAGGGAGGGAGGGAGGGAGGCAGGGAGGAAGGAAGAAAGAAAGAATTTTAGCCAGAAGCCAGACTTGCTTATAACTATAGAGAAATTGAAGTAGTTTAAAATCTTCCCATAATGGAAGAAAAGAGGACCAGATGAATGTACAAGTAAGTTTTACCAGCTTTCAAGGAAAGATGATTCCCATCTTATGTAAGATCTAAAAGATATTTTAAAAACAAAAAAACATATTCCTTAACTCATTCATGGGGCCAGTATAATACTGATAATCAGATGAGGACAGTAAAAACAAATGCAAAAATCTGAAGGAAAAGAAAAAAAACTGGGAAGGTATCCCAACAGTATATGAAAAAATAATAAACCATGACCAATTTGAATTTATCCCAGGAATACAAGGGTGGCTTAATATTAGAAAATTCTACAAATATCTTTATTACATTGACAGAGTAAAGAAGAAAACCTATATCATAATTTCAAAAGATTCATATAAACAATTTAAGAAAATTCGACATCCATTCTTTTTTTTTGCGGTACGCGGCCCTCTCACTGTTGTGGCCTCTCCCATTGCGGAGCACAGGCTCTGGACGCGCAGGCTCAGCGGCCATGGCTCACGGCCCAGCCGCTCTGCAGCATGTGGGAACTTCCCGGACCGGGGCACGAACCTGTATCCCCTGCATTGACAGGCGGACTCTCAACCACTGCGCCACCAGGGAAGCCCTTGACACCCATTCTTGATAAAATTTCTAAGCAAAAGAAACAGAAAGACCTTCCTTAACCAGACAAAAAATATACCTACAAAAGATCTAAGCAAACATCATTGTTAAAGGGAAAAAGTTTGAAGCATTCCATTTAAAATCAGGAGCATGGTAATGATGTTCAGCATCACTATTTCTATTCAATATTGTATTGCGATCCTAGCCACTAGAGTAAAACAAGAAAATGAAATTAAAAGATATAAGATGTGGAAAGGAGAGAGCCAAACTGTCATTACTCACAGATTAAATGACTGTCTTCATAGAAAACCTGTTAAGGATTTACAGATAAATTACTGAAATTATCAGCACCATGGCTGGCTATAAAATCAATATACAAAAATCAGTGCATTTCTATAGTCCTGTAAAAATAATAAAAAGGATATCTAATTTTTAAAATGACACAATAAAACTACATGCAGAAATAATAAATGGTGCTAGAACAAGTGACTGTCCATATGGAAAAAAGTATAATTAGATCACTCATTAAAATCAATGCTGCATAGATAAAAGCATTTAAAAATGAAAAGCAACACTTTAAAAGTTTTAAAGAAAATATAAATGGACTGTTTTTCTGAATTTGGGGCAGGAAGGATTACTTAAACAAGAAAAAACCTGCTAACTATTAAAGATAAGATTGATATGTTTGCATTAAAATTAACTCCTAGATAAATATTGTATGTTATCACTTATATGTGCTTATCACTTATATGTAGGATCTAAAAAACAAAACAAACAAATGAATATAACAAAATAGAAACAGACTCATAGACATAGAGAACAAACTAGTGGTTACCTGTGGGGAGAGGGAAGTGGGTGGGGCAAGATAGGGGTAGGGGATTAAAAGGTACAAACTACTCTGTGTAAAATAATTAATGGGAATTCCCTGGCAGTCCAGTGGTTAGGACTTGGTGCTTTCACTGCCGTGGTCCTGGGTTCAATCCCTGGTCAGGGATCCCACGTAAAAATAAATTTTAAAAAATAAACAAACAAATAAATAAGCTGGGAAATAAATAAATAAATAAGGTGGGAATATAAGTTGGTACAACCACTATGGAGGACAGTATGGAGGTTCCTTAAAAAACTAAAAATAGAACTACCATATATTCCACCAATCCCACTCCTGGGCATATATCTGGAGAAAACCATAATTCAAAAAGATACCTGCACCCCAATGTTCACTGCAGCACTATTTACAATAGCCAGGACATGGAGACAACCTAAATGTCCATCGACAGAGGAACAGATAGAGAAGATGTGGTACATATATACAATGGAATATTACTCAGCCATAAAAAAGAATGAAATAATGCCATTTGCAGCAACATGGGTGGACATTTATCACACTAAATGAAGTAAGTCAAACAGAGAAAGACAAATGTCATATGGTATCACTAACATGTGGAACCTAATTTTTTAAAATGATATATAAATAAATAAGCTACAAGGATTTATTGTACAGCACAGGGAATATAGCCAATATTTTGCAATAACTTTAAATGGAGTATAAGCTGTAAAAATTTTGAATCACTATGTTGTACACCTGAAACTAATATAATATTGTAAATCAACTACACTTCAAAAAAATTTTTTTAATTTAGAACTCCTATTCATCAAAAACCTCATTAAAAAAAAGAAGAAAAGCCACAAACTGAAAGTATCTATAACATGTATAACACGTAATTCAGAATATATAAAGAACTTCAACAATTATTACTAACCAGGGAAATACAAATGAAGTCCGCAATGAGATGCTATTTTGTGCTAGATTCACGAAAATAATGAAATCTGGTAATACCAAGTGTTGAAGAGGATTTGGATCAGTTTGGTCTCTTATACACCAATGGTGTAGTGGTAAAAGTGTACAATCCCTTTGGAAACCAATGTGACTTGACCTCATAAAAGCTGAACATTTACATACCCTACACTCTAGCAGTGCCACTCCTAGGACTATATCCTAGAGGAACATTATACCTGCACACCGGAAGATAGGCACATGATAGTGTTTATGGCAGCACTACTTGTGATAGTAAATACTACAGCCCTGCTGCTTCTGGTTCCAGCCTTGCAACCTCATCACAGCCCTCCTAGCCCCTCTTGTCTTTACTACTCAGCTCCTGCAACAGGAGTCCTGCTGCCAGAGGCTGGGCAAGTCCCTGAAAACACACACCATATCCAGAGAGCAGCTCCCAGGGGACTGAAGGCTTGAGGCAGACCTGGGGCCAGCAGTGGCTACTGGTTTATATTGGAAAGATAAAGGAGGTTTTCTGTTTCCTGTTTTATAAATGTACATTTTTCACTTGGTATCTTATCAAATGTTTGTGTTTAAAACATATTAAACAATCTAGTATTGCCGTTTTCTACTTGGCTTTAGCAAACAACAATAAATGAATTAAAAAATAAAATGAAATAAAACTAAAAACTAGAAACAACGAAAATGTCCAACATCAGGAATAGACCAGATACATAATTTGCGTTCAGTCCCACAAGGAATAGTATACAGCAGAGAAAAAGAAATGAACTGCATCTACACACAACATGGATGAATCTCAGAAACATAATGTTGATTGGAAACAGCAAGTCCCAGAAGACCATAAACATATGATGCCATTTTTATAGACCTCAAAAACAAACAAAAATAAATTAGGCACATACCAAAGTGAGTACCTTTAAAAACTCAAGGGAATTATTCAAAATTCAGGGTAGTGGTTAGGGTTACCTTTGATGTGGGGGAAGTAGCAGAAGGGAAAGAGAGGAGCACACAAACCACTAGCAATTTCTAGTTCTTGGGTTTGGGTGACAGACCATGGGCACTCATTATTAACTTTGAAAACACATATATTATATATAGTTTTTGATTACGTGAAATATTACATTAAAACATAAATTAAAGACACATCCCACGAATATAGCGATACATAAACAGAACTATTCACTGACACACTTAATAGATACATGAACACACAGTCTCAAAGACCCAGATACACTGATCCATACATTTCCTTACAAAATGAAACAAACCTAAACACATTCATTCATGAGAATGACAGCCACATTCTCTGGAAAGAAGAACAGGAACATACTAACACACACAAAGTGACACATTCCTAACACTGACCACATACATTCCTACCAGTCCCATGGGGAGGTACCTCCTAAGAGGGTGTACTGGACCACTGGGAAACTATGGGTGCTTATGAGCAACTGGACTGGTGGATCGTCTCCCAGAGATCACCCCCCCAATCCCAGGCTCCCCGGGCACCCACCTGATTCCCGGGATACCACTTTCCGTGGGACCAGCTTCTTGACCTATGCAGAAAAGAAGTGCCAGAATCTGAAGAGGAGCCCTCACATTTCTAGGTCCACCCTCATTTGTGGGTGGCCCTCCAGCTGTGTCCCGTGAGAGCCACAACCCCCAACTTTGTCCAGAGTAGCCTGCCCCTTGCCACCTGAGTGCCTGGCTTCATACTCACCGGGGGTGGTGGGAGCACAGAGTTATCTGGGAAAAGTCCTCTTCTGCCTGGAGACTCTCCTTCCCACCAGCCCTTATCCTCTGTGGTCTGGGAGAGCAAGATGCCGTGGGGAGGTGAGCCAGATCCCCACGCTCCTTCTTTCCCCAAGCCCACCCTTCTCAACACCCCCGTCCCTGTGCCCTCCCCTGCCCTGTGCCTTTCACACCTTCCTCAGTACTTTCACCTCGTCCCCCCTCCGCAGCGCCAACTCGTCTGGGGCGTCGGGATGGTAGTCAAACAGGACCCGGTAGGTCTCAGGGTGGGAGACTGAAGGGAGGTCAGTTCACTGAAGCCAAACCCCCTCCCCAAACCATTCATCGGCTCCCTCCTCCATCAGTCTAGCTGGGTCCCCCCTCCCCCCAAGTCAGAGTGGCTTGGGGAGGAGGATTTGAAGGACCCTTTGGCTGGGTGCTCACCTGTCCGCAGGTAGTCTGGAGGGCTGTCATAGGTCAGGCTGCTCAGCTAGTGGGGGAAGGGCGAGGAACAAGCTGAGCCCCCCAACACCCCCGCCCCTCCCAGCCAAGATGAACTCACCACGTCTTTGCCCACTCCACCCAATTTACCTTGGGAGCCCGCTGGGGACCAAGGCTGATTGAAGGCATGTCTGGGTTACCAAGGCCTGGTGGGGGGATAGTGAGGTTAGGGGCTGGTGCTAATTCAGTTTAGGTCATGGGAGAGGTCAAAGGGGTGATGGGGCAAGATGTGTGGATCACACGTTCAGGCCACTGGGGAGGGTCACTGAAGATTGTAGAGTCTGGTCACAGGGGTTCACGGGGTCACAGGGTCCAGGTCTCACTTGGGGGCCCACTGTCCAGCAACTCCACAAAGTTGGATGGGAAGGCTCCCAGCTGCCCGTTCTTCTTCCCCAGCCACCAGCCGTCCTCAATCTGGGGAGGGGGGAGGACGAAGGGGCATCTGGTTCTGCCCCAAGGGGCTCCCTAGGCATCTTAAACCCTGGTTCACCCCCCTCTCCCGATTCTGCCCGATGACCCCTCTCCTCCCTTGCTCCCCCACTTGCCCATTTCTGTGCCCCTCATCAGTCCCATCATCCACACCCTCACTGCACCCATGTCCCCTCATCCGGAGACATACTCCATCATCTCCCCCCAAACCCTCTCATTATCTCATCCCCTCACCTCCTTTATCACTTCCACAATCTCCCCAGCTTGCAGCTTCCGCTCGTCAGCCTGCTCCGGGCTGTAGCTGAAGTTCACTTTGCACTATCTTCGGTGGCCCGGAGATTCGACCTGGGTGACCTGGGGTCTGACGAGAGGGAGGTCTCTGGAGCCTCGAGCCCCAGTCCTCTGAGGGGGACAGGGGCGGGCCGCGAGCGCCCCCTTGTACCTCCAGGCCCCGCCCCAGGGCGGAGCATTGTACTCGAGAACCAATCACGGGACGCACAGAGGCCACGCAGTCCCGCCCAGAGCCGCGCCCGTCTCGGCGAGCTGGGAAGACCTGGGGTGGGGGTGGGGGTGGGGGTGGGGTGGGGGGGGAGCTGCGCGCGCTCGCCCACCGCCCTGGCTCTCACCTCGGCGGCGCGCACAGCGCGGTCTCGGCGCGTCCCCCGAGCCGCGGAGAGTCTCAGGGATCTCCTACGAATGAGCGCACGGGCAGGGGGGCTCTCAGCTCCCGGGGGCGCGCGCTGAGAGCCACCCCAACCCCCGCCCGACCTCCGGCCCGGCCTCACCTGCACCAGGCACTCGGGGAAGAGGCCACAACGGCCCCCCAGCTCTCCACGCAGCCAGCCCCGTGCGGGCCCATTGCACACCTGCCGGACCACGTCCCCGTGCGCCAGGCTCAGCTCGTCCTTTTTCTGCGCGCTGTATCCGGCCAGGACCAGCACCTCTGCGGGCGGAGGATGGCGCTGGCACGCGGCTCAGAAGAGCCCATTCAGGGCCGACTGGCCATGGCGCGAGTCCCAGGCCCCGTGTGGACAGCGGGACAGCGGGGTGGTGGTGTAGGCTTTTATCGCTATTTCCACTCAGTTGCATAGAAGAGCTACCCCAAACCCTCTGCACATACCTATGGCTTCCGGGGCGCCTTCCGGAGCCGAGCAAGAAGGATGGTGCAGTCGCGTTCGCAGCCGATACTGGGTCCAGGTAGGGTGGGACAAGCAGCGAGATTGTGAAGCCAAGGAGGCGGAGACGCGAGCCGATAGGTCGGGCTCCAGGTGCAAGGAGTGCGTATGGGAGAAGGGGCGGCCCAGTTCGGCGGGTTCGGTCCCCAGACCAGGAGTGAGGACTCCGGGATCTCTGGCCAGTGCTGGGGTCACAGCTCCCCTACATGATCTTGTCTGCCTAACCACCTAAGTTTCAGTCTAGCCACCTTCCCTCCTTCTCCCAGCCTTGGCCCTGAGGCTCCCACCCACCATTACTGGCCTACCCTCTCCGGGCTGACAAGCTTTTAGCTGCAGGGGAGGTGGGAAGAGGCACATACCAGCAGGCAGCAAACGCTCTCGGGCGGGTCCTGGGTGGACGGGGTGGTTGTTCTGTGCGCACAAACCTATTGCTGCTTTCCCTGGGAGGCATATTCCTCCCTGGACCCCCTTCAAGGGAAGAGGAAGAGCACAAAACCCCTTTCTTCAGGCCAAGGGGGCCTCATTTGGTTTCAGAAAACATGCCCGGATTTTCCCAGGGAGAAGACAGGAAGAAGGGAACTTCAGGAGCTTGCAAGGCTCCTGCTCTCCTGCAGCCAAGGCCAACGCTGGCAAAGGCTGAAGGTTAGTGCCAGTCCCACGTGGGCTAGGTTAACTTTCAGGTCATCTTCCTGCTTAGTGGCGAATGTAGAAAGCCGAACCCGAGCCCTGCAACCACTTCATCTGTTGCTACCCCGGGTTAATGGAGACTCTTCACTGCAGCATGGAGCCCACTTTTGTGCTGCATTGAACAGCAGCTGGAGTGACTTAAGTAGCTTTATGAAAAGATATTATTTTTCAAAAAATCTGTGAGCCTCAAGAAAAAAAGAAAGCCGAGCCTGTTATCCACACCCCTTGACCCCTGCCCCACCACTTTGGAAGCCAAAGTTCTTGCTTATGACACCAGAGTGAAAAAATCTGGTTCTCCTAGGGTGTCCAAGGTACAGGATATGAAGCAAAATCACTGGAAAGGGAAAGAGAAGCTATAACGCAACGCAGGATTGGCTGAGGTCCTCCTAGAACAACCAAATGCGGAGCTGGAGCGGATGGAGCTGAGCAACAGTCTGGGCCCAGCCCCCCCCAGACACCTGGTTTTTCAGGTTCCCTGAAGCTGCTATGGGAGACACCCCCCGCCCCAACACACACACTCAGGGTGACAATGACCAGAGCCCATTTACATCTGCCACTTCATTTATTTTTTTATTTGCAGGAGGAGTTGAAACAAATTTTAAGGGTATTTTCATTTTTTTTTTCCCTAAACATGAATCATTCAAGTAAAACCAACTTAACTATAGAAATGTAGCAAAGTAAGGGGAAAGTAGCATAACAACCCAAGAGGCAAAGGTTGGAGGGGGGGAAGAGGTGGGTGCAGTCCGCATATAACATATGCATAAATGCCATATGATTCACCTGCTCAGGACCGCCTCCCCAGAAGGCAAGCACAAGGACCCATTTTAAGAGGATGTTTTCCCCCCAAACATCTGAGAATGTTTCAACTTAAAGCTTAAGGTTAAAAAAAGAAAAAGAAAAAAAAAAACAAACCCCCACAAACCACCCAGCCATAACCACCTTCCTTAATCGATCATAGGAGTTTCTTTTCATTTTATAAAAAGATTAATAAAAAATATTGAAAAAATTATTTTCTCATCTTATATTTGTAAAGATAATAGAAGTCAGAAGTTTCTTAGAAAACAGACCAGAAACTGCCACATCCAGTTTCCACCCCTGTTGCTGAGAGGATCAGCAGGACTAGAAAGTTCGGGATACTGGAGCTGCTGGTGGAGAAGGGGAAGCCCAGCCCAGAAGAAATCAGAAAATATTGGCGGAGAGGGGAGGTGCGCACATGGGGTGTGGTTAGGAACAACACCATGTGATACATGGCTGCGCAGAAAAGGGGAACACAAGGTGGTCAGAAAGGCCTTGAACTCCTCCTCGACATACAAAACCAACTTTTACAAAGATTCAAGCAGTTTGGTCCCAAACTGAGGTGAACACTTCAATGTTTATTCACATGCTTTGTTTTCTCTTTTAAGAATCAAAGTTGCCCAAATTAAATCTTTCCGCTAATGTTACTATATATGCCTAAAAAAAAAGGGGGGGGGGCTTTTAAAATCAGGATAAGGGAGAAGAGATTGAAAATCATCAAATTAGTCCTCTTAGCTCCAAATGAAATGAAATGAAGAATAAAACTGTTGGTTTCTAATAGGGAACAAACCAAAATCCAAGTATCGCTCTGCCCTCCCTACCCCAGCCCCACCCCACACAGCAACAAATGAGAACCACACAGCTAAAGCCCAACATGGTGTGTTCTGCTCAAGAGCTGGGCCTGACCCCAGGCCCCACAGCCGGCTGCCTCTGGCGGGACACAGCGCCAGGGATGCTTTCGGCTGTAGTAGGAGTTCTGCATGGCTGGTGGGGGGTAGGGGTGGGATTTTCAGAATCTTCTCGAGGCTCCTCTGTTTAGCTCCTCACCAGCCATCTTCCCAGCGCCTCTCTCCCTTGGGCAGGGGCTCCCATCAAGGTGGCCTCTACTCAGCTGTAGGCTGTAAATTGTCCTTCTCTTCTCGGTTCTCTGTCCCACTCTCGTCGTCTTCGATCTCCCCTTCCTCCCCACTGAACTTGTCGTGGGCCCATTTGGGGCTGGTGCTGGATTTCCGGAACATGAACCGGCCCCGACCCCGAGGAAAGGCTCCTCGGCCCCGGCCCCGGCTCACCCACTTCTCACTGCCTTCACCTTCACGGTCATCATGCTGAAAGGAAAGAAGACTGCCATCAATGCCAGAGTGAACAAGAGTAGCCAGAACCCTCTCCTCTGAACCCACCCAAATATGACTTTCTCAAGTGAACCTATGCCCTGTTCCCCACTCTAAAAATGCCACTGATTCAGATCTAAGAGAATACTCAGTTGGGTTCCTTGAATTCTAAGGCAGTAGTTTAGGCATTATAATAATGATGATGATGATAAAATCTTCACTCAAAGACCTTTTCCTGCATCATCTCATTTAATCCTCACATCTACCCTACCCTATCATTACCACCCTCCACTACACAGATGAGAAAACAGGCAGAGGAACTTTAAGTAACTCCATATTATTTAGAACACTGTCTCTCAAAGAGTGGGTTTGAGAAAGCAAATCACCCCTAAACGTGAAACTATGATCTGAGTTGTCAGGATGGTAAGAGATGAAGCAACACAGAACACACACATAGTTGGGACTCTAGCTCTCCCCAACCCTCCCCCTCAGCCAAGAACAGGCCGTGAGACCAAGGGAAAATGATCTGCTCATGGTCTCAGACCAGTTATTGGCAAAGGCAGGACCAGAACCCAGCCTCCCGTCTTGTATCCCTCCCCTCTTTAGTTTTACGCAAGAAGGCAGTGTGGCAGAGTAGAAAAAACAAAACCTACAACTCAAACAATCCCTGGTCTGATGATCACATGAGAAGAGAAGAAGGGATCCAGTGAAAAAGAATGAAATGACAAAGCATTTTGAAAAGTCACTGTTACCTATCAGCCCCATGGCTTCAAAGAGTCTAAATCCTCCACCCACACAAGTAGTGCCTTAGGCCCCTGAGGGGTTAGCTCAGCTAAAGGGCCAGCTGCTTATTCACTAGCCTAAATGAATCAGGCTGGCAATGCTCCTTCAGGGGACAGATGGGGCAGGGAAAGGGGCTTTGTGTGGCCTTTAATCCTTCCCTTAAGCAGCCCCACTCCAGTACCTATCCTGGGCCCAGGCAACATTTCCCTAGATATAGGTTCAAGGGTCCTCTAGGAGTCCCAAAGTAGCTACCAGCAGCCCTAGAAAAGTGAAGTTGGCTATACACAGTGATTTACACAGCAACCTGTTTCCTAGCTTCCTGTTTCCATGCCAGTCCTCAGGGGTGATGAAGAGACTCAGCTGCAAGCTGACCTTGGTTACAACACTCAAGAGTCACGTCTGCTTGGATCTGAGCCTGCTGTTGAGCAAAGCCAAAAGAGCTCTCTCACTGGCCAGGTAATTCAGCTTAGAAGAGCCCTAACCTGAGAGGCAGAGAGGCTCAGATGGTGCCTGGTACCTGACAATGACCAACAGCTTAGAAGAGAGAAGCCCCAGTGGCGTTTCATTTTGGAGGCAGGTCCCCTTCCTCAAAAAGAGATCCTGAGCTGTCTTTCCTGTCAATCTTGTGCTGGGGAGCGACAGGGTGGAACTGCAGCCTCAGGGGAAGGTTATGGTTCTATCCCTTGCATAAAGGCTGGAGGGAGGCTTAGGTTAGGGTGGGTGAGCAGTAAAACAATTTCACAGACTAAAAAGGCAAGAGGAACCTTTCCCCGCTTACCCTGGGATCCATAAACGTCTTAGATAGCGCTCTCAAGGTCAGGACTACCTCTCTAGAGAACTCATCTTGCCAGCACTATGCCATCCCACAAGTACGCATGTACCCAGTGCAGCGCCTGCACACATATTTAATCACAGTTCTGGAAAGACCAATTAAGGCCTCTGTATCAGCTACTGTGTGTGCCAAAGGCCCCCGGCCCTTCCTGGTTGTCCCCAGACACATACCAAGTAATACTTCTTGCTTTTGGGTGTGTACTCGGGGTCCCATTCCTCCTCACGGTTTCTCTTTTGAAAATCGTTGTTGCTGCTGCTGCTGTTGTTACCAGAGTAGTTGCCTCTGCCCCAGCCTCTTCCTCTGGCTCGAAATTGCTGTGGCAATAAACAGGGGAAAGGAACAAAGGGACCATGTAAGGAATGGAGAAAAACAATTCCTTGCCTTCTATTCAAACACTTTTCCGGCACAAAACAGACAACTGTCCTCCAGTCAATATGCTGGTCAACTGGTTTCTAGTCATTCCCTTTCCATTCATCTCAAGTCTACAGCCTAGACAGAGGACAAAATGGCATAAGGGCCTCCCTACACACAACAGGAGTCAAGACAAGTGAGGAAGTTCGGAAGAGAAGCCCTAAGAGACTTTCTGGCTAAGTGATTATGAACAGGAAACAAACAAACAAAAACACTAAAAATGGAAAGCCTGGGGATTGGGAAACCACAGATTCTAGGGTCTTTAGACTGAATTACTTGTATCAAGGGCAACAAAATTAGTATTCTGATAAGAACATAATTAGAATTGGTGGGAGTAAGGGCTTAGAGAAAGGGAGAGGGGGCAGGGTCTTACAAAGGTCCCTCGAGCTCTGCCTCCTCTGTCACTTGGACCCACAAAGTCTTTGGTCCCCAGTCTTGATTTGTCAAAGCCCGTGGTACTCTCCTCTCTCTCCTCTGTCTCTTCAGTGTACTCTTCCGCTTTGTAGGAGTGGGATGACTGGGAGGAAGAGGATGATGACCTGGACCGGTCTCGTGCTCTCCGGTGCTTCCTTTGAAAATAGAAGAGGCAGGGAGATCAGTAAGCCTCTAGGGTACAGCCTTTGGCTGGGGGCTCATGGATAAGCAGCACAGGGCAATCAGGAGTGTGTCTGTGATGAAAACACTGAAGGCTAGTAACCTGAAAAACGAACTCACCCCCAACATACACACCCAGGGAACCTGGGGAGCTTCCTCCCAATTCTGTCAGTCATGCTGAGTGACATATCTATGTCCGAGCCTGTGATGAACATGGGACATACACAGAAGGAGCAACAAAACATAGTCTGTGGCCTCTGGCAGCTCAGTCTAATACATGTGCACGAATCAGAAAGGCAGAAGGAAACTAACATTGTATTGAAAGTCACGGAGTATCTGGTACCAGGACAGGCTTTATATATTACCATCTGTTTCGGCTTTACATTAGGTCTACTTCTCATAAGAAGAACACTACCTGTCTTGGGACAGTGCTCTAAAGACTGAAAAAACAATGTGCTTAATTAAAAACTCTACACTGACACAGCAGGCATGTAGTAAATGGCAATTATGATCATTCAGTATTATTTCCCTCATTTTATAGATAGGAAGTTCAGGTGACAGAGCTGAGTAGGCCTGGATTCAAACCTGGCTCCGACTAACTATACCACTACTCCACAAACCACCTCCCCGCTTTCCAGTGAGCTCAAACAGCTTCTGTCATTAAGCACAGGATTTGTCGAAACTCTCCTCAGAGTTATTTCCCATCCTTCCCTTCACCTGGGGGAAATTACAGACTAGGGCAAATCAGACTAATATGATGAGTCACGGTCTGTGTACTGGAGGTCGGGGCCAGTCCGCCATGTGGTGCTGGAGAAGGGCACCAACCACGTCTAAGGTGGCAGAAAGGCTGGCTCCCAGGAGTAGAGGAGGACTTACAGGGAGAAGCCAGCCTGTGTCAGTAACCGATCACTGCCCTCCTCCACTACGGAGGAAAGTACCTTGCAACCCCCCAGCCCACCCCCAAACATTCGAGAAGATCAAAGACTTACATGTTTGAATCCTACTGGTGCCTTCTAGCATTTACTCTTAAAAAGGGGGAAATCTAAGTTATTGTCACAGGATTCTTAGAACTCAAATGTTTGACTCCTAGAAATCAGTGTCATTTCAAGAGGTTTTCAAACCTAAGACTCCAGAAAGCCCCATATTTGAGTCCCAACACTGCCTTTTATTAGTTGTGTGATCTTGGGTGAGCCACTCTTCAGTCATATGAGAAAAAGTTCTTCTAAACTGAAGTGTGATATACAATGAAAAATGACATAATTATCATTTTTCTTCTTGCCCCAGTCACAAAATACTACGGTTGCAAGAGACTTGGTCAAGGTTACACAACAAGTCAGAGGTAAAGGCCTGTGTCCCAGGGAAAGAAATGAGGATCAGTCATCCAAGTCCAACCCTGAAATGCTTGAGGGGTTCTGCTCCCTTTCCACCAGTGACAGTGTTGAAGACTACTATACCCCCACCTCCATTCCCTGGTGAGGATTATCAGATTTTTATCTGTGGGCAGCCCTGAAAGCTGCTAAGGCTCATAATGTGTAAGTAACTGAGTGGAAGAGTAGACAAAGTGGAACAGAAGATCTGAGTTTTGATGTCAGTTGTTACTGTGTAATCTTAGACAAATCGTTCTGAGCTTACTTCTTTATCTTTCAAATGGGCAAAACAGGTAGCTACTAACTATCCAACTTATCTCAAAGGACTGTTATCAGAAAATGGATATGAAAGTGCTTGCTAGATAAAGTTCAGAAACACAGAAGTGGTGTAGCTTCTTACAGGAAGGTGTGGGGTTTCAATTGTGCTACCTTTAATGAGACATGACTGAAAAGTCATGGAACATTCAAAAATGTAAATAGAGATAAGACCTTGGCATAAATACTGCCTTATGAAGTTCAACAATGCTACCTTTGTTTAAAGAATATTTGTAACACCTCTCTTGGAAGTGTCTGTGAAACCAGTTTAAAAGGCGATCAACAATCTTGTCCTATCTAGTTCCACCCTGTTTCTCTGACCAAACAGTATTATTACCTGACAACAACTTTG